ATCTTTTTTCATATGCCCTTCAGCTGAACATCCATAGCATCGTCCATCCTTGTTGATGCCGTCCCAGCTGTGAGAGTACGTGCATGACTCACCACGTCGGCAGCCACCAGTGGTACCCCAAAACTTGCAAACTGGCTTCCCCTTTTCATCCGAACCACTTCCACCCAAAGCAACTGCCTTCACCGCAGCTGGAGCAGCAGCTCCTGTTGAAGAGCTCGTCTGTGGCACCGTCGTGGATGAAGGTTTCGGCCCAGCCAACATCAAACTCAAATCCTCTGCCTCCGCCTGCAAGAACTCCGCATACTCCTGAACAGCATGGAGTAGAGGTCTTTGATCAACTTGAAGCTCCTGGCGAACCGACGCCAGTCTGTAGGCCACCTGCGCACCTCCTTGTTTCCCCACAGCATCCGACATCCGTCCAAGGACCTGCATCAAAATCAAGGGGTCCGGGATCGCCACCTTCAGCTCCAAAGCTCTGGACACCCACCTCCTCCAAAGGCGAATCGTCCCAAGCACGTCATGGATCGTCGTGCCAATTCGGATCTCCGTCAGGGACTTCAGAAGTGATGTCCTTTCTGCACCACCACCCGGCTGGAAAACCACAAAGAGCCTGTAGAGGATGGCCACCGTGGACACGTTGCGAGCTCCCACAATGTCGCGTCGAAGAGCTTCAGGAAGGATGCTCAGCAACATCGCGATCCCCCGCTGTTCCAACCTCATGTAAGTAAATTTCGTGGTGTTTGGCTGTTAATTCAAATCAAGTAGCTGCCAGACAATCAACGTGTTTGGTTGACCAGCCCTGGGCACAAAACCTCTTTCCTTACATGTTGTACTTGGGTGCTGGGGCCACTTTTAATTGCATCAATCACGATGCCTGCCACACAACAGCCATCCCTCTCATCATTGGTGGATTGCCAACGAAGAGGCCAATGATGAGAGCTGCAAACGTACCTGCGACCTTCCACTTTCGGACATGGCCAGATGGCTAAGCCGTTAAAAACCACCCATGCCGACGTGACATGCTAATATGATAACATGACATTACATGATTTCATCTCATCCCATTTCACCCTCTCCCTTCAGGGTGTATCCAAGTGTGTGTGTGTTTGTGGCCCATCAAGAGAACCACCGTTTTAGACATTTTTTTGAAGGTATTATCCAAACACAACAACACACAATCTCATGCTGGAATTAGTCCCTGTGTATTATTAGATAGATATATACATATATATATACATACATACATACATATATCGCATGTAATTCAAAACATGGTCCACCAACAAGAGTCTTAATACCCAAACATGAGGCTTGTTTCGCCAAGATGAGCGTGAACATCCAGACATAATATTGCCAAGTAGGTATGAAATTGTTTCAGCAGTAAGATTTGGAACATCCAAACAAACCATCACCATGCGTAATTCCTGATTTTGTCCATCCAAAACATGGAATTCACACCAAGTGTCAAACGCAAGAATTCATTTTTCCCCCGCAACGGCCAAGCCGCACTCTATGGTACTGTCGAAAGCGGGTTCTTGTAACCCTGAATTTCAATTTAATTTTAATGGATATTCATCCCAAACATGTTTCCCATACTTACGCTCCATCTCACGGATGGATTCAATTTCACATCGGCAGTCAGCTGAAATCGCTTGGAGAGGGCCATGCTCACTCCTCGATAGCCGTTTTTTTTTAACACATTGAATCTTTGAAATGGTCAAAACAAAAAATATACAGTTCCAGAGCAAAACAAACAGGCGACGTTCCTGAACTGATTTTGTAGAAACCGAAAACTGCAAACAATTTCATTGGGTTAAAAGGATACTTAAGGATATCAATTCCGGAAATCTAATGTTCAAACAGAGGATCTTGGGGATCCATTCCATGGTTGGACCAAGCCAACACGATAAGCAAAGCTTTTCGCAACTGGCCACTTCCAATTTGGAAAACATAAGGGTTCGAAGAGAGGGCTGAGAGATCGACATGGCTGTAGAAAGGCCACGCAAAGACCGGTCAGTCACTGACTAGGTAGATGGGAAAACCAAAATTTCTGCATAATGCAGTTCAGACATGTTTGACACTACGTGCACTAAAAGCAAACCCTAAATTGCAAAGCACTGTGCTCAGTGCCTGAATCCCAAATTCAACACACTACGTGCTGAAGGCAAACCCCAAATTCAAATCACTACGTGCTGAAGGCAAACCCCAAATTCAAAGCACTACGTGCTGCAGGCAAACTCCAAAGTCAGCAGAAAAACAGTAAAGTTCAGGGTTGAAACAGAATCCGCTAAAGTACATTTTTTTCACCTTTCACCAGCGTCACAGTGTCACATGCGTACCCCTAGCATGCGCACACACACACACAGCAAACCACATCTAAATGCGGGCCGGCCAAAATCAAAATGCAATATTTCGGTGAAAACTATGGGGAATCTAAATCTGGGACCCTTTTCGCCCAGCCATAAATGCAGCTCTCTCACTGGATTCCATCCAGCTCTTGTGGGCATCGTTGACCTTCGCATTGGGGTTCTCAGTCAAATACTTGCGAACCTCACTGCAAGCTGTTGTTGGAACGAAAAGCGCAATATGCAGAAAAAATGAACATGTAAAACATGAAGTTGAAGAACACCTTCACTTAAATGTGTTCAAGAAACAAATGCCCAGCGAGCATCGTGCATGGCCGACCTGGTGGCGTTTTTTTCAGGTGAATGAACTTTTTCCGCATTGTCCGGACCATCACCATCGGGTTTGTCATCGTTGCCACCAGCTCGCAAGACCTGCAAAGGAAGTCGTTGCCGTAACATTAGCACAGATTTGAAACAAAGCTGATATGTCAAACAAAATTAAATGATTTGACACATATTTCAAAACAGTTCAAAGACAAAATTACTCCAATATTACGGCGAAGCCACTCCTTTCTTTGACCACTTTGCATGCCATGCGCGAGACTGTTCCCTCTTATACACACGACGCTCTTCTTCGACCCTGGCCACTGTCCCTGGGCTCATGTCCGGAGTGATCTTGGCGGTCCTGAACTTGATTCTCTTTGCTGCCGGTGCCGGTTCTGTCGCTTCCTGACCACTAACCAGTACTAGTGTACTTCGTAAAGGAAAAAAGCCGTCGAGCCCCTTGGAACCCCAATTTTTTGATGAAACACCCAGCCTCTGCCTTTGGACTCGGGGCGTCATCATCATCAGGATTCAAGGAATCTTCTTCAGGAACGGCAGGTGTGCCATCGTTTAAGTGACGCGCTCGCTTGGGCGCTGCCTTGCAAGCCTCAAGTGTAGGATTGATTATTTGGTGGGGCCACCCCAAGAAATAAAACAAACAGGCCCGCCGCAAGAAAATAAAACAATGAGGTCCATTGGAGAAAAAAATGAAAGCACCTAATATCAAATGAGAGAACGGACAAGCGAGGAGGAGCAGCATCACGATGACTTCCAGAAGCTGCCCCAGGAACATCAGGAATATGATTGGCTTGATTCTTCTCTCCATCAGCAACCTTTCAACAACCCGCCGCCAGCAGCAACAACAACAACACCACCACCACCACCACCACCACCAACAACAACAACAACAACATCTCGAAAAACAATTGCTTGGAAAGCAAAAACATACTGTTGACACAAGTCAAGCCAAAGAACACGAAGCTGTTCGATGACATCATCGTCAAAGTTCTTGTGGTCGAGCCAAGCCAAGTCCTCCTCTTTGAAGAACTGATACTCCTGCTTGGCTTCTGGCAATTCATCCTGTGGCCTTTTGGCCAATGGAGGAGCAACTGTCGGGGAATCAGCCTGTTGCTGTTTGGCCAATGGACGAGCAACTGTCTCAACCGGCATTGCCATCGATTCCTGCGCAAAAACATTCCAAAGTATGCAAAATTATACACGCAACCCTATAATAAGTAGTTCCTGGGCAAGCCGGGGGCGGAAGTTTCAAAATTGAAGCGCTTATAGCCTATAGAGCGGAGCAAAAACTGTGCCTAGGTGACAGCCAGGCCTTCTGTGCTTCGCAGCAACAAGCTCTTGACTTGCCAATCTGACGCCATGTCTATGTCTATATAGTTCTATATATAGATAGATATATCAATATATTTTTGTGTGTACTCCAAAAATGGTAAGTTTTTACTTAGCAACGAAAACATTGCCATCCTTTAAACAACATACAACAGTAACGCTTTTGACCCCCCTCCTGTGAGCGCGTCATGAACTGCTGAACCTTTGGGCTGACCTTGAAGGCAACAGCAGTTGTCTCTGGGACCACGGAGGCGTCAGTCCACTGGATCCCCTTCTTCGACCCTGGAACTGGTTGCTCCTTTGCGGTCAAAGCCACAGGTGCTGTGTTGTCTGTAAACTTCGCCAAGTGCTTGTCCATCAAGCCATTGTTGGCAACAGATGCGTCTACCTCCAAGTCGACGACCACGTCCATGGCACTCTTTCAAAAAGCTGAAAGAAAATATTAACCTGTGGCCCTATTGGATCCAAAATGCCTGAAAGAACAAATAAAACTGTGTGATTGTTTGTCACTACAATCAAGGCTTCTCCTAACAATTGTTTCTTTTTAGCTGCTTTCCCCCACTCAGCTAGGTACTCTGGCACGCTGTGTTGCTCAGTCAGAGAACTCAAAATGTGGCATTTCTGCCCAAAAGTCAATCCTTCACACGCCTTCCCCAAATGGAAGAAATAGCTCAGCTTGGCTCAACCACTGCCTGAATCATGGGTATATCAAAATCCCCTTATGTGCTGTGTTTTTAGCACATCGCAGTTTTCGAAAAAGCATCATGCTGGCTGGCCAAACTAGCAAATCTTATAGACGTAACCAGCATCAACTGTGAAGCCGTTGCCCTTCAGGAACCACAAAGGCTTTGCAGGTCCAATGACCTTCTCTCGGGCAAAGTGTCGCATTCCTAGGTTGAGGAAATCGTTTGCACGTGTCAAAACGTTCCAAAACAAAACAGAAATCAACCCTTCAAAAGAAAATGTATATTTTTTCAAAACAACTTAGTTTCTCCAGACAAGCTGAAGACAATTGCTGGCTTCCAGGGGCTTGTACCCCAAAAAGCCTGCAACGTTTGTTCCCTTGCAAGCACGTGCCGTTACAGCGTTGGGACGGAACACGCTGAAGGCTTCATGCTGGACTTCAATCCTGTCGGGCTCCTCTCCTCTCTTCACAGAAGCGGGCCTATCCACCGTGTGGCCGGTCACGGACAGATCGAGCACCCCCCTCTTTTCAAATGAATGAATCATTTGATACAAACTCATTGGCGCAGAGTCTGCAGGTCCTTGGCTTGTAGATTCCTCCAAGACAACCTCAGCTTTGAGGATGTGTTTGATGCATAATTATAGCAAAACACAAAAAGAACTGAGCGTTGCCAAATGTAGGAAAACTTGAAAACGCAAAAATCTTACAAAGACAATTCTTAATGAAGCAGAAAAACCATGGAGTCTCCTGACTCCAAGCGGAATTCCACAGCTTTGTTCTCATTGGCCGGTTTTCCCAAGAATTCTTGCGCCTCACTGGTGCTGACAGGCGTGAGACATGGTCTACAAAGAAATCTTTGAGAGCAAGATGTTAAAACATGTTTAAAGAAGCAAACAACTTACTAACAGTAATCAAAACCTGGTAACTTTGGCGGACTCGCTAATCCAACTCCCACCAGCATACATGAAAATTGGCTTGGCTGAAGCCCCTGACAAAACTCCTGGGAGAATAGCCTTTGTAGGACTTGACACAAAGGCCTGGGTCCCGACCACATAGCAAGTCACAGTCAAGGCCACACCAAAGGTCAACGTGATGGTTGCATCCACATTGCTGAAGTTCTCCTTAAATTCAGCCTCTGTCATCTTGGATGGTTCTGGGCACGCCGTCGTTTCCACAGTCTCTCGCACGGTCTCTGTGGCCAAGTCGACATCTGCATCACTTGGCCGTGGGTCTGGTGACTCTGAAGGCACGAAGACGGAGTCAAAGTTCTTCAAGCGCACTCGCCAATCCGGGTCTTAGGTACATGTTCTTTGATAACCAAAAAAAGAAAATAGTGGATGTTTTGGAAAAAAGGTAAGAAAACAAATCAGCAAAATTAGGTCAAGGAACTTCGGACAGGATCAGATAGCCATTGGTCACGTACTTGTCGTGGAATGATCAAAGTGCCGTCAGCTTCCATGGTGCAAAGTTTCAGCTGTGGCTGACGCGGTTCTGAGAGGGAGCAAAGGTCAGGTTCTGGCTGAAATTTTGGAGCCATGAAGCCCATCAACCCGCGGCCCTCTTTCCACTCCTGCCGGGTTTTGGCAAGGTTCTTTCAATCAGATTCAGGGTTCTGACAAGGTTCTGGGTTCAAACAGGTTCAGAGATACAAACTGGTTTTGGCAAGGTTCTGGGTTGAAACAGGTTCTGGATATTAACGCTGGTCCTCCACCAGCTTGTCCTTCACCCCAGTGAGGGCATACTGAAAGATGGCATTGTTTGTTGTTTCGCTGAAGCCTGCGATGTGGCATTCTTGTTGAAGCTCGTTCATCATGTCAAGGAGCACCTGTGACAAACATACATTTTCTTCGGCAAACAAAAATCAAAAGCGCATGTGAATAAGTATTGCAGAATGTTGAATCAGAATGTTTCTCAAGAATGAGTAGTGATTTTGCAACTTCCAAAATCCAGTGACCTTTACAAACACTCAGAGCACATGTCATCAAGATTTTGGAGGAAATGGCCTTCTCAAAGACTCCATCGTACATGGTCAAGTGCTGAATCAGCAGCGCTTGCCCTTTAAGCGTGCTGACTCTGGACAAGCAAGCTTCGAGAATGCTGCGGATTGTAGCGGCTGAAGCAAACCATTGGGCCCCCTCTTGTTTGTCCTCAATTCCAGGGTCCCAAAAACAAAAATATAGAATTATGTTAAACTGTTAAATGTCATCTTTAAAAAAGCACTATATCCCCAAACCCCGAATAAAATAAAGAAAATACTGGATCCCGAAAATTATCCAAAAACCAAGTTTCGGTCAAAGATCGGCCTTGCTCATGTGTGAAAAACGTGCCACTCTCAGGTGTGACGTAGTCACCTTATGGATAACATCACAACATTTCCAAGTAAAAGACTCCAAGAACAGTAAAGATTCAGCATTGAAAAATATCAAAGCAAGTGGCTGACAGGCAATGGAACTGTTGGACCACAAACCAAACTGTTCCAAAAATCAGACTTCGCCCAAACGTTGTCATCACTCAGCTGCCTCTCGGCATTGCGAGGAGCTTTGTACAACGTTCCCTGACGCGCTCCAAGTGTGGTGTCAAGCACTACCAAATAGCCAGGCAGTGCTCGCGGAAACGTCCTGAACCAGAATTGGTTTGCGGTTTATTTTGAAGGGACATAATTTATATTGTACATATAAATATAAATATATATATGTATATATATATATATATATATGTATATCCTGTGTATATCTACGCATATCACCACAACCATACCAACTCTTTTGCATCTATGCTGCAAAGGGTGTGACAGCAAAAAATGCAACAAATTTTGCCAAAATATGTTTGTTGCTGCAAAGGTTCCTGTTGCCTTGCAGGCCAGACGTGTCAAACAAGATCTGGACCAACTTGGTTTCCATTTGAAGCTCTGACAATTTGTTTTCCAGCCTGCTAGTAGGGGTGTTTCTTTGTCAACCCAAAATTCAAAAACAAAGTCGCAAAAAGCTTTACAAAACAACAGTGTAAAATATGTTTGAACAAAACCCCGCACCTCATTTCTCCGCGAAGGCCATTGATGACACCATCTCCAGCCAGAACTGGCGCACAAATGAAGACCATGCCTTAGATAAACACAGATGACAGATGGGAAAGCATATGCACACACACACACATAGAAATAGTGTCACAAACACCCGCCCATAGCCAAAATTATGCACCCAGCACCACCAAGTTTCTGTAATTTGCATTCTGGTTCAGCAAGGTTTTGCACCAATTTGCAACTTCGTTCACAGTAATAGCTGACAAACGCCCGTACTTGGTCAAATCAATGAATCCAAGATAGTGGGTCTTGCTCACATCTGCATTGTCAAAGCGTTGGCCAGCATCTGTCAAGGCTCGCCTCGTGAGACCCCCGAAACTCTGGCTCAGGTTCTTGTCAGCACAAACCATCAACATGCGTCGTTCCATGAAGTTGTCAGCAACTCCCAGCCCTGCTTGGATTTGATCTCTCATGTGTAGGACCTTGGCTTTTAAAAATGAAAGGGAAAAAACAGTTTTGATTACGTTAATTTGGCATACGCAACAAAAAAGCTTGATGTGTTTTGCTCGGACACTCGTGTCACGTGGCGAGAGGACTGCACCTGTCGCTTTGAATTTCAAAAAGAAAACATGAAGAATCAAACAAGCAGAAACCTAGTTTGAAAAACATGTTTTGAAATTATAACAACACCCTTTCGTACTTTTAAAAAGCGTGCCTTGTTTTTGCGAAGATTGAATCCGACTGCCTCACGATAATCATGTGCAAGGTTTGTGCACACCACGCGATACTCTGCCACCCTCAGGTTCTCCTGCTACATCTTAGATGAATTTTTGGATAGGGAAGACCCAAATTTGAAATTCACCTTTGGAAACATTCTGTGATTAAACCCCCAATCTCCTCGGCTTCATCCACAGCGGTGGATGTCTCCTCTGCACCTGCTGTCTTTCCTCCAGGGTGAATTAATGCACGACCAACATGGTCCTGCCACATTGCCGTCATTTCTGCTGTGAACTTGGCTGGTCGTGCGACCAGGATGGCATCAAGATCCTGGGAGTAGTCCCTTAGTACGGATGCGATTACCAAGGAAAAACATGAAAACATGTTCAAGTTATCTTCATGTTTTCCCAGTTACTGTAGTTTCAAAACGTTATTTTCCCCTCTTGTTTGGCCCAGGAACCCGTTCAAAAAACCAGTCTTCATGTTTTCATACACCTCTTCGGTGACATGGGGATCATCACGGCACTGTCGCACGACAAACTCGAAAACTGCACAGTGGTTCACATTGGATGTCCACTGCTCTTCATTCCACCGGATCCTGTTTCTGACAGTCTTCTTCACCTTCCTGGAGTTTACGCTCCACCACTTGTTGTACTTCTGGAAGTGGAGATGCTGCACAGCTGGTGTGACCTGAATCCATCAGGACCTAAGAATAACAAACACTTTGGTTTCAGCCAAGTTAACATCCAAGAGTTGAAAAAAATAAATGAAGATTGAGAACATTAAACAAGACAACAAACCAAACTAACATCAAGTCAGACACCGTCAGCAACTTCTCCCAGAAGGGAATCAATCCTTTGGGCGCATTGTTGAGCATATGCCTCTTCAGACGAAGCAGCGACTCACTGTAACCTGGTTATGCACAGCTACCAAACAGAGACAATTGATACGTTTATCCCGAAAAGCATACATGCTCCCCTAAAACAGAAAATGCAGCAAAGGAACCACTCTCTTCCCACTTGTTGTGGTCTAGGTGAGCTCTGAGCAGACTTCTGCTTGTCTCATCCATACCGATAATGATTGCCCAGATTGCCTGGTACTGGTCAGCGGAAATTTGCCAACGTTTCAATGCGCTGTTGGCCTTGTAGCTATTGTACTTGTTGACAAGTTCTGACAACAGCTCTTCCTCGTTCTTCTCCTTAGCATCCTCGGAAAGCTGCCTCTCCCGAAGCATTTTCTCGAAGCGAGCTGCCAACTTCAGCACCTTAGTCATTGAAATTTTAGAAGTTGCTAACTTGGATGGAACCCTTGCCCTTTTCACCAGCATTTGGACTCAAAAATAAATTGCACAAATTCTTTTACCAATATAAAACCTGAATGCGTAACAAGGTTGTTAAGTTTGAACTTTGATGAACAAAAACAGGAACACAGATTATGCAACTGTTTTGGAAAACGTGTTTTCAAATTGTCCGTTTCAAATTTGCCGTTGCAAGGTATTGATTGAAGTCTTGAATCTTGACAACTAAGTTTGGTACATCTTTCCTTTGACGTTCAGCACCCTGTGTGGACAGCTGGATCCCTTCAAAGTTTACAGTTTCCTTGTCGCTGCAGCATGAAATGCAGCAGGGTAAACTGAAGAAATCTGAGAAAGCCGGTAGGAGGCACGTCAGAAGATCCTCCAAGGGTCTTGCACTGTTTGCTTTTAACACCAAAGATCCCCCCAAAAAAAGGAGCTTAGGATCCCATGAAAATTGAGTGGTAACTTCGAAAATCCATCTCCATTCAAACCCCTCCTTCCCAGTGACTGTATCAATGTCCGACGCGACAAGCAAAAGGAACAATCCAGCAGTCCTGATCAATCTACACTTGATCGAATAAAGAAAGAATTGTATATCATGGCTTTGAACAAGCTTGACTCTTTACAAGTCAGAAAAGAGTCCGAACACATACAAAGCAAAACACATGCAAAGCAAAACCAAGGAACAGCCTTGTGAACCCCTTCTTCACATGCAGGAAAGGAACGCTAGATGGGTCATCAGGCAAACGATGAGCAACATTCAAATCAAGCGGTTCCCGGTACAATCTGCTGCCGGAGAATAAGAATGACAAGCACGTCGTCAGCCAATCCTCTACGCAAGGCATGTCGTCAGGCTTCACCAGGCAAATCGCAGAGAGGGGCACGTGCACATTCAAATGCTGCATCTCACCCCTGACAAGTTTGCCAACATCCTTAGGTTGTTCACTAGCGTTCTGAAAGCAAAATCCAAACTGAACAAATAGCATGTCTTTTAAGAAATAAAAAAGTGCAGAAAAGTAAAGAGAGCCCTAAGTCAGAACCTGGTAGCAGGGACAGGTGCTAGCTCCATTTTTTTCTCATGTTTCATGGCATCTTCCAGAAATTCTGGAGCTTTTCCGTGGTTGCCTTTGCAGCCTCCGCAGTCTTGAAGGAATCTAACACCAAATCGACAGGGTGTGCTGTTGTTGCCGAAGTTCCAGCCCCACCTGCCGGTTCCACAAACATACCCAGGTAGGAGAGAACGTCCTGAGGGAACCCTTTTCGAAATGGGCTTTGCAACTTTACAAGTGTTTACCCAATCATAGGAACAGTTTCTGGTTTCCCGTCCTTGGCGAACCGTGTGTCTCCCGGCATGTTCTTCAATCCATTCTGCCACTCGGTTTTCCGTTTTTTGGTCGCTGGGCACTCCTGCTCTGTCTTGACCTTGCAAAGGAATATTGACATATGAAAAAGTTTAAAAAAACTAAAAGCAATTCAGTCATATATATATATATATCTCTATATATCTGTCTGTCTGTCTATCTAAGTTATAAAATGCATACATATGATGCAAAAACAAAAACACATTTGTTCAATCGAAAGCACCTCAGTTTTGACTGGTTCCCTTTTGACATTGCCCTCATCAGTCTCCATCTTTGCCCCAGGGTCTTCCTTCTTTACGATAGTCCCCAAAGCTTCTTGGACTGCTGCAACACCGGCTCGTAGGAGCGGTGATTCCATGGCTCGGCTCAAGGATGTAAAAGTGAAGGATATCGCGGAAAAAATCAAAAACGCGTTTCTACCACTTGGTTCCCAAAGTTCCAAGGTTGGGGTTTGGAAGTCGGTCTACTAAGTTCGTCGTAGGTGGGTGTGTTGACCCTCCAAGTTCGTCGTAGGTGGCTGTGGGGACCCCCCAAGTTCGTCGTAGGTGGCGGTGCTAACTCCCCAAGTTCGTCGTAGGTGGTAGTTTTAACCCCCAAAGTCGTCGTAGGTTTGAACCAAACCTACAAAGAGTTTTTGGGCTGAAAAGTGATCTCACCTACACTGACTTTCTGGTCGCTAGCCATGATCAAAGTCCTTGTAGTTGGCTACCCTGCCTACAAAGACTTTGGTTGACTTTTAACTACCTACACCAAACTTGGGTTTTCCAAAAAATCCAAGTTCAGCGTAGGCTTACTTAAGCCAATACTAGAGCTTTGTAGTCCCCCCCCTCTCCTACAAAGACTTTTGGGTCGCTAGCCATGATCAAAGTCGGCGTAGGTGGCATTACGCCGCCCGTCAAAGTTGCCCGCATCAAATTCATCGCACGTAGAGTCAAAGTGCTAACATCTGGCCAACGGCCAAATTTGGATAGCCGCGTTGCCATCACTCAGAAGGTCTCAGCCTTAGTAGATCCAAATTTGAAAAGCCGTCCCCATTGTAAAGAAATTCTACGGACTAAAATTGCAGCCACAATTTGAAAAAAGTTTTTACTGCATTCTCCTTTGGAGCTTCTTGCCATCTAGGATTCAAACAGTGTGGGATGACATCTTCAAACACCATCAAAACAATTGAATATCAATTTTGAAAACAATGCAGTGAAACACTTTGTTTTAGCAAATTTTGTGTGTCATCCACGTCGTTTCCAAACTGCTCTCAATGCCACAGATGGGCAAAGAGTTGCAAGAACCACTGGATGTGGCTCCTCTCTTGCCTGGGGCATCACATAAACTGGATTGCCCTCTTCATGCCACCTTAATCGGGGTAGTTCATTTGCAGGCAGTGTGCCATTGGCCATGGAGGTCAGATACGCAGCCGCTTGCTGACTGGTAGGGTTTCCTCCAAGTAAACGAACAAAAATCCCTGCAAGATCTCTCCAATCCTTCTGCACCTTTGGATTAACAGGCCGTATAGCCATGATACCTAAGATTGCATTGGACAAGAAAAAACAGCCCCCTCCCCCAAAAAAGGAAACGCAAAAGAAAACACAAATTGAATTAGCACCTCCAAAGGTGCGATCAGTGCTTAAACGAAAGACCTGTCGCGACTCCGGTGTCAGCACCAGCAGGGGTAGTTGGGCCAAGTTGGCTGATGCGATGTATTCCTTCACGAGCACCAGAATGTCATCTGGGTGTTTTGCCCTTCGGCTGTTGGTACCTTCATTGGTCTCGTAGTTCTCAGGTAGATCTGCAGAAGGGTTGTGATGCTTGAGACTACTTGTTTCAAACATATCATTCGTGGCGAACTTGAAACATCATATGTTGATACAGTTTGTGTTTCCAAATATGTGTTAGACGAGTCCAGCCTCGACGACGAAGAAAGAAGAAAAAATGGTTTGCCGTAGCGTCGAGCAGCAGTCCTCCTTCCTTGGATTTGGGCTACCAAAAACATAACATACCTGTAATTTGTTTCTTCTTGACATTTTTATTTTCAACATGTGTAAAACCTACACCCATTCTGAAGCTGAAAAATGTTTGTAATAGCAAAGTAGCGAGGTTGACTGGGCAATGTCGATCATGGTGTTCCTTCCAGTTGCGGAACTTTCTCAAGATCATCACGTTCACTGTTCCGTTGATCCATTTTTTCAAAGAAGGCTGCTTCAGTTCATCCAGTAGGATTTGTTTGACACTCTCTGCGTCAATCATACTTGTTGATCGGGACAATCTTCGACTCAAGCATCCCCACAACTGATCTTAGCGAGATCAATCCCTCAAATTTGAAGCTACACAACAAAACCTTTTTTCAGGTAAAAGAGAAACTTTATGTATATCCCAGTCACCTATAACATCGTGGGTGTGGGAGACTCTCATCATCATCCCACAGGCGAACCTTTCAGTGTTTGTTTTGGGGAAAGTAAAAAAGAAACAACTGTAGGGAACAATGAATACCAAACCATCCCGGAACCCACACCAAAACTACCTGGAACCAAAGACCCCTGGCCCTTTGTTCATAGCTTGGCCAAGAAACCGGAGACGGCCATGATTCACCAGTGATGCCAAGTATGTCAAACAAGGAGAGTTTTTAAACTCTTTCACGGTATTATCACTGACAACTATGAGCGTGTCAGGGCAAGGTTGGTTGGATTCCTTGCACTGCGACATGACAGCTTCCAATGTCATCATCAGCACTTCCAGTACCATAGATGATCCATGGTATGTAGTTTCCTCAAGTATGGCTAGCTGCAGAGTGTAGCCGAAGCACCAAGCCCCGTGAATTTTGAGCTTTGGTCGATGTAATTTGCTCGCCCGATAGCAAGATCGAAGGTTGGGGTCCCGTGGTACTTGGTACTTTGCCTCGAGGTTCAACTGGGTTTCCCACTTTGTATTGAATCCTAACAGAAAGGGAAGACAAAACTTTAATTTGGAAAATGAAAAGCAAGCAAGCTTCTTGATCAGCTCCATCAGTAGCGATTGTGATGGTCCTTGACATTTGTTCTGCACTTATATCTTTCAAAGACCAAAAAGCACACCTGTCGGAGTACTGTTCGACCAGGTGCTTCCTGTACAACCGGAGCGCTCCCAAACGCAGATCAAGCTGGAGAGCTTTGTTTTGGAACCTGAGTCCAAAAACGTCTTGGTTTAAAGCGACTGTGGGAAACATATAATCAGACCCTCACTGAATACCCAATGCCCTAATGCCAAAAACAAAAATGGCAACATCAGCTGAGCAACTGCGCCTTCAGTTCTTGACAAATGTCACACTGTGAAAAGGAATTTTGATCCCGAAACTTCAAGATTAAAGTCCATTTCTCATTCCAGCGTTTTAGGAAGGTACCATACCTGAGGAAGCTGCATGGCAAAAGCTACAAAAACTCTGACCCCCAAAAAAAAAACAAAAAGAAAAACCATAGCAAAACTTGCACAAAAATTGAGACTCAGCACGACGCCTGCTCTCTGACATTGTGAGCTGAGCACCATCCAAGGTAGAACTGGTGTACTTCCCACAAGGTTCCAGGGGGCAGATACTTTCTGGCCAGTTTGGACAGATCCTCATTGATTGGTTTCAAAACATGATGAGGGAAGGAAGATGATTATGCAGTAGCTGGGAAAAGGAAACAAAGTGGAGAAAAAACGGTGCTATTTTGCTGGGTTGCTGTGAAGGCACCAGTGGCATGCATGTTCAGCAGAAATGAAGTGTTGGATTTTAGATATTCAGCGAGATCCTCGTCATTCTGTTCGAACTCTGATGGAATGATGTGGTCATCACTGGAGGAATCCATAGTCTTTGATTTGGTAGTCTTTCGCTGTACCCTTGCCGGGCCTACACGTACAAACCTTAGCTCAGAGCAGCTTTATGAAGAAAAACATGGTTTGTTTTTGACTGTAAGTATGTAGCTTCTTCGCCCTCCCCCCAAAAAAAGTATTGTCCTTTTGCCCACCATGCTACTTGTTTGGAAGTGGTTCTGCCACGCTGTTGTACAAAACCATGCAGAAACTATCAATTGATGCTGTCAGCGGTGAAGGTCGTGGATGTGACCCATACCGTAGGTCCAACGCCCCAACCCTGTCTACTCTGTGACTGCTAATCCCCAGCAGGGCCTCGAAGCAAACTCGTTTCAAGTATTTTCCAAGAAAATGAAATTCCCTCCTGTTTTTTTGGCTGGCTGCAGCAGTTTGTTCACCAAATGCCAGAAACAAAATAGCATCCTGCTCTCGTTTTTCCATTTTTTCAAATTGGTTCATGAAGAGCTTGACCTCTTCAAGATCGAAGTCTTTGAAGCACTTGCCTTCGCTGCACTTGCAGCTTCCTTTCAACAGCTTCGTCAACCTTTCCTAAGATGACTTTGGACAATCGGCGCAGTAACAAACAATACAACTTCGAAAAACAGAAGGTTCAACAAAATGTACCAATCAAATCCAATAATTTCCCATTAAAGTTTCAGGACAATTTCGTGGCACCCGCTGCTTGACAGTGGATTCTTTGTTCAGTTTTCGTTCGTCCGCGGCTTTCATTCGATTCTGATTGTTGTATCGTCTCTTTTTCTTGATTGGTTCTTTGGATGTGGTCGACCCAGCTGTGCTCAACTGTGATGTCAGAAACTTGGAAAGCGTGGAAAAATTAAGCTGCACAATATTGTAGGCATCAGTCTTTTCCTTCTCACAGTCCCCGAAGTATGCAGAATCGTCAGATCCAGAACTGCATCCATTTTGCTCCAACTCATCCTGTTCGACCCCGAAGAGAGAAGCCCTTAAAGGTTGGTGGTGAGGTGCCTCATCAGGTTCATCTTGAAGAAGACTTAGCCCACACTCCTTGTGACTCCGTGGTCTCGATGATGATGACGGACGAAGTGCATCTCGCTCTTCAGGTTCTTCCCCGAAAAGGCTATGTCGGTTTTCATCTGGTTCATTTTGAAATAGCTCGGGTCCACTATCTTCATCAGGTTCATCTTGGAAAATGTTCGCCATGAACCCATTGCTGAAGCGCAACAAGAATGTGATTACCAACCATGGGTGATCATGGGATTCATGTGGGATTTCCATGCCGTGGTGAGCTCAATAAATTATGTATTCTTAAAGTGTCAGTTTTGATCTTATGAGCCCAACGCAGCGTCAGGCTTAAATCAGGCTCGGCTCGACAGGTCAAATTGCACCAAACAAAGGCTTAGAGTAGGACGGGTCCGTGGCTTCTTCGCAGGGGTTTCATACTCCTCACCAAACTTTCAGCTAATTCAAATCACTGAAGTGTGGTGGATAACTACAAGTGCAATAATACAAAGTAGTCCTCGATGGGAACCAAGCAAAGCAGTGCCTGGCTGATGGTTTTTCATTTTACTCTTGAAACACCTGGATGGTTTCGGTTTAAGCATGTCAGCTACACGCAAAGCAGAATGAACCCAACGCTTGGTAGGTCCATCGCGTTCCCAGCGAGAAATGCCTGGTGCATCAAAATTGTGTTTTCCCGTTTCCGGAAAAGAAAAAAGTTGAAAACCATAATCCGTTTCGGAAGAAAGTTTTAAAATCATCAAAAAACAAAGTAAAAACAAGTTCAAAAAACATTACAGGATGCCTTGGCATTTGCTTTCAGCATCGAGACGTCTTGCTGTGGAACAGATGCTGCAGCCGCCGTTTCTCTAGTGACAGGGAGCCCCAGAGCTGCCATCATCTCTAAGCCGGTCAGCGGACGAGAGTGCCTCTTGCTCCACCTGACCAGTGAACGAACTGGGCCCCCCGGGTACCCCTCAACTCCAGCGGTTCTTAAGCAAAAGTTTTAAACAACCATGGTATTTTCTTTGAACAGCTATCTGGTTTGCAGGGAAGGCACAGGCAACTGCTTGATGTCGTAAATGTTGGGAGTGAGCCATCAGATGTGCTGACACGCCCTCGGTTCGTCTTGGCACTTGGGTTTTGTGATAGGTCCTTGGTTGAATGTGGAGACACCAGTTCATTCCGTGGGTTACAGATAATTTAGGGTTAAAAATTGATTTGATAGAATTTGGCGGTATCAAAATTTGGTTTTAAACACGGCCGATAAACAACTTTTATCGGAGAGGAAAGGTGGCAGAAAAAACAACTTATTCTGCCATGCTTCCCACACAAGGGCATGAGGAAAACGCTCCTCATAGATGGTCTTGAAATCACTTGCAGAATTGGAGAGGTCCAAATCGAACATGACGTAGCGATCGCATTCTCTTACCTCGTGTTTGCAGTTTAGATACATATATATATATATACACATAGTGACATATTATATATATATATATGTGGTTAAAAACATATATGTTTGTTTTAACAAAATCTTCCCAACTGGTAACAGGGCACAAGCTCATCATCTGTCAAGAAGTACATGTCATCCGCGTTCAATCTCAAAGGTTGGTGCGGCACTGTTGCTTTCAGGATTTGTCTCAAGGTTGGTCCGCGCCAAAAGAATTTCGTCTTGTCCCAAAAGAGTCTGTAGGCACGAACCCTGGCCAAAAGAGCCGATGGAAAACTGCTATGCAACACTGTCGGAACACCCCCTGGTATTGATTGTGGGCATTAATTTTCAAGAAAAAATGGTTTCAAACAAAATTGCTTTGATCAAGCGTGTCCTGGACATAGGCTTCCCAAATCTCTGAGGTGAGATGGCCGTCTGTTGAAATCCATATCCCGCTTTCACCATGGGTTCCTCTAAATAAGAACCCGGATAACGGAGGACATTTTCATGGACGAACCAGCCTGGCCTCAGCTGCACGTAAAACATTTGCCAGATTGTTGGAAAGCATAATATAAAATAGCATCAGCCAACACACACACACACACCCACACCCACACATATACAGACACACACATGTATATATATATATATATACATATATACATAGATACATATATACATATATACATATATACATATATAATCATATATACATATGTACAAATATACATTTATACATATATATATATATATATACATATATACATATATACATATATACATATATACATATATACATAATACATATATACATATATACATATATACATATATACATATATACATATATACATATATACATATGTATAAAGAGCGAGAGAGAGAGAGAGAGAAAACAACTTAAACGAGGCGAGAAACTTTCTGTCCAATTTGTCTTTCATCCACACATCATGTACCTGCTTCTTCTTGACATTGGCTGTGGCCATGCCTTCGTTCTTCCCCATCCTGATTTTGAATTGTTTTGTTTTCGCCCCAATATGCAATATAGAGGTACCGTAAATAGGGAGAAAACGAAAATATATAGAACAAGAACCTGCGAGAAGAGCACACACGGAGGGCCATCTGCGCCAGCATCGTCTCTGGTTGGATCCACTGTAGGGTTTCTGCAACACCGTTGCTGATGGGTTTCACAATACGCATTGTCAACCTGATTTTTTGGATTTTTTGTGATAGTATTGGTGGGGACATTTTAGGTGGTGAAACAATCCCATAAAACTGAGCCAACACAATTTATTGCATTGGTTTTGGAGACCCTGGCTTTGCGAGAAAAAAACGTATGAAATCCTTTTGCAAATCTGTTCAAGCAACCAACTTCATCTTTGAAAGCTGCACAGCCGGATTTTTGGTAAAATCCAGGATGTCGGAAAAGATGCATCGATCGGGAAAGTTGGCCTTCAAAAACCTTTCTGCGCGCAGAACGGGTATGTCCTTTGAAACCAAAGGGAAAACATTCAAAAACAACCCAATGAAAAATACACACATTGTGAATTCTGAGTAGCTTTCTCGAATTTTTGTCGATGTCGCATGCTCTGCCAGCAACACAGTCAAGTTCGAACCCATACCTTCGCTTGAGTTTCGTTTCAAAACAAAAGTTTGCAGGTTTGATTGTTTTGTTTGAACATTCGGATTTTGAAACAGGAGCGTATTAAAAATGTACCCTGAAAGTATCCGAGTTTCCGCCGTCGGCACGCTGCAGATAGTTGCATCATAGCAGCATGTGGGCAGTCCAGTCCTGTAAAAAGACCATCCAAGGAAACCTTGCTTGCCTTGAGCTTCTCTTCGACTTCTTTCGCTCCAAGCAATCTCCTAAGATTCTGTGGTTTTTATTCAGGAAAAATGTTGATCGCTATTGGTAGGTCACCATTATTTTTTTTAAAAAGGTGCTATGATTACTACGCCAAGATTCTCAAAGCGTTGCAGCAACCTGCTTGCCCACCCGAACAAGCCCAGGTAGGTGTTCGGATTCTCCGACCTGAGTTCAAACACGTTTGATCTTATTCCTTTCATGTCAGGTAAAAGTTTGGAAAAAATGTACCTGTTTTGAAAAAAGTGATTTGGGTAGTATGTTTGGGTAAAACGGCCAAGCCACGGAACAGACATGTGTCGTTTCAAGCTCCGGAAGGTCTCATCATCAGGCTCATCATCATCGTAGTCTCCTGGTACTCCTTTCCGACCTCAATTATCAATCCATGTTTGGGATTCAAGGGACCGCCCAAAAGAATTGAACACACCAGGGCATCCTAAAATAGACACCCGATCAACTTGAAAATCTACCAAAACAAGTTGAGTTTCCAGGCGCAGGGGGTCCGTCTTCGTCCGGCTCATCTGCAAAAAGCTCTTGCCCCTAAGGGGATTTGGCTTGTTGCTCAAAACCATTTGAACCTGTTGGAAACGATAAACATCGATAAACAATAAAATCTCTTAAAATTCAATCATCATCTGAACACGTGGTAAATACAAATTTTGGAAACCATGAAGCGCCTCATCACCACTCTGTGAATCCAAGAGCGAACGGTGTCCTTTTAAAACTCGTGGCCTTGACGACTTTGGAGTCCGTGGCCCCCTTGTTGCTTTTTCCATATTTTGGGGATAAAATTCCCTTGAGCAACAGTAGCTGAAGATTAGAGGTGAAAACGGTACAAAAACCCTGTCAAGCCAGAAACTTGTTCCCACATATCGAGACTGGTGTCAAGCTAAATGCACGCAAAATCTACGTCGTCACATTTTTCCCAGGAGTTCTCGTGGCAGTCCATAGCGCCGTAGAACAACCTGGGCTTACATGATTGGGTAACTAATTGTTTTGTTCAAGCCACAACAAAAATTAAGCAAAATGTATAGGTCCACAAACGAATGGAAATAAAGGTCTACTAAATAAGGTCTGCTAAATTGCAAATCAGATGACTCAACTGTTCAGCGAAAATGCCCGTCAAAGTAGCGAGTGTTTCCTTGGTGGTCATGCAAACTTGGGTACCCTCAGCTGAATAACATGGAGCTTAAATTGAAAAATGTTTTGTGGAAATTAAACAAGACAAGTTGGTGCCCATGCTTATGTGAATCCATGTTTCAGGCTGAATCAAAATTCCAAGTTACTTTTGGAACTAAAAAATGCTAGATCAGATTCAGTGTCCGCTACTGCGCATCTACGCATCAGCTTTGCAGCAAATTGCTCAAGAAGTCTTTCTCCGGGGACTCGGGTAGGAACTCAAACCATACATAGGTCCTGGCAGATGCTCAACAAATACCCTGAAAAAAAGCATGTTAGTTAAACAAAAAACACAAACAAACACCTGATTTTTCCAAAAAAAAGTTGATATGTCAGCTTGGCAGCTTATCACGATCCTCATCTTCCTTGTCCGCGAACGCCAGGGGTGCAAGTTTATATGCAGAGAGCCAACGCTGAGAATCTTTCTCATAGATAAGAATCAAACTCCAAGGATCTGTTCTGCTGATGACATACTTAACGTCGATGGTGGTTTCCAGGGGCGCAATCTCGTCCTGAGTCGGCAGTTGGTCATTTGTTTTTGCAACTTAAAAAACATTTTGTTGGGGAACAAAAACTGAAACAAAGTTTGTTTCTGAACAAACCCAAGAAACAGTGAAGTATTCCCTGTACAATTGTTGAAGCAAGGCCTTTTCCACCGTAGGTCTAACGCCAAGATGTTCCCATTCATGGTCTTCCGGCTTGAGCATTTTCCAGTAATCTGTCACGGTGGTCACGTCAGTGGGGCACAACATGGTCTGTGCAAGGTAGCGAAACATCGGGAAATATCCACCAAAGGGCCATAAGAATCCTGGGCGGTGTTTGAATGGAACCCCAAAAACATCCAGAATATGTTTACTATAATTATATTCATATAGTGGAACCATACCTGAAAAAAAATAACTACATACAACTTATATCGTTGTTTGTAGTTACTAGGTTTCTTTACGATGAAACAGCAAAAACTGCTCGAGCAAAACTATGGCACCAAAATACTGCACCATCCTTGGAATTTTAGCCATGCGAGCTTGAGCGACGGGTGAGGGCAGAATGGGCTCATTGTCTATGACGAAGTCCAGCAATTTCTCATGGCGATACCATTCGCGTGTCATTTTTGAACCAAGATGCGTCTCTGAACCGGCCAGTTCTGCATAACTCAGGTTGGAAATTCCCTTGACCAGGTTTTAGTTAACAGACTACAACAGACGGAAACACTGGATTAAGAAAATGATGCGCGGCACGACCACATGTCCCAACTCCCCCAGCAGCGTGAGGCAAGGCCACATATATATATATATATATATATATGTAAGTATGTAAGTATGTAATATATGTATATACATGTATGTATGTATGCATGCATGCATGCATGCATGCATGTATGTAAGTATGTAAGTATGTAAGTGTGTAAGTATGTAAGTATGTAAGTGTGTAAGTATGTAAGTGTGTAAGTATGTAAGTATGTAAGTAAAAAATGTATGTAATGTATGTATGTAGGTAGGTAGGTACGTAGGTATCTAGGTCTGTCTGGTTGTTTGTTTGTTTGTTTGTTTGTTTCTCTGTTTGTCTGTGTGTATGTAGATAAGTATGTCTCTTGTTGTTTTCTCTGTGTGTCTGGTTGGTTTGTCTGTTTGCTTGCATCAATCTATTTGCTTGTCCGTTTGTTTGTCTATCCAGCTATCCATCTATCCATCGATCTTTCTATCTTTCTATATTTCTTCTTGTTATCTATAGTTTTTTTTGTCTATCTATATGGGTATGTCTCAAAATGAGGAGTGCGGCCCGGGAAGTTTGACTAGGGGGTATGATTCGTGGGTATGATTCGGGGTATGATTCGTGGGTATGATTCGTGGGTATGATTCGCGGACCTTGATTTAGTGTTTCCCTGCATGCTCCGCGTATAGTTATTTACCCACACTTACCCGAAAGTGTTTCAACTGTTGGTAATTATACCATACGTGGAGCGCTCTGGAGCTGGCATGCTGTTGACGCTGTGCGTGCTGCTGTCAGAGTGGTGTGCGCGCTTTGGAGCGGGCATCGTGGTGCCGTTGGAGTGCCGCTGCAAGGTGCTGGTGCAGGGTGTTGCTTGCTGTCAGAGTGGTGTGTACAGTTTGGAGCGATGCTGGTGGCGCTCAGGGTGCTGCTGCAGGTGCTGCCTGAGGGTGATGTTTGAAGGTGCTGCTGTCAGAGTGGTGTGTGCTGTAAACCCTGCTTTGGAGCGGGCATGCTGGTGAGCGGATGCCGGTGGAAGGTGCTGCTTGAGGGTGCTGTGGAGCTAGCTTGCTGGTGCCGCTGCAGGGTGCTGCTTCAAGGTGCTGCAGTTAAAGTGGTGTGTGTGCGCTTTGGAGTTGGCATGTTGGTGCCATTGCAGGAGCTGCAGGGTGCTGTTGTCGGATTTTCCTCAGAAGCAGCAGGAGGCGTAGTCTAGCCCGTGGCGAATGGTTACAAAGAAAAGAGCTCACAAAACACAAGTTCTGATCTTGCAAATGTACCAAGGTTCAGAATTGGGAAGTTTGAGGTATGATTCGGGTATGATTCGGGCATGATTCGGGGTATGATTCGGAAACCCATCTTTTTTTGAATTCAGGAAGCTTTGTTGCTTGAGTCTCTTTTTCCCACCGTGAACCTACTACGATTGCTACTCAATGGCTGCAATGGCTCGACCTGCCAGACGACCTTGGACAGGACCTGAATATGAAGAATGTGAAGATCTAAATGCACATCTATGATTTATATCCGACGGCCTGCCGGCGTCTCTTCTGGATGTTCTTCTCATGTACCTTTAGTTCAGCTACGCTTAGGCTTATGTTCCTCTTCGACGGATTTTTGGTTTGGTTGCCAGCCAGCCAGCCAGCCAGCCAGCCAGCCGCACACAGAGTCATCCCGCTCATCAGCCTCATCAGCAACACAGCAAGCAGCCAGGCACGCAGGCAGCCAGCTGCAACTAGCCAGCCCTATACCAGCAGCAGCAACTGAGCCAGCCACCTAGCCAGCCAGCCAGCCACCCAGAGCCAGCCAGCTTAGGGATAATGATGAGACTCTGTGCGCGTGGAGAAGATTCGCCACTCCGTGAAGGTATGTGAAGGTAGCCAGGGATCATCGGGTCTGGCCAATACTGGTCAATTAGCTTGTCAAGTTCATTATAACAGGTGAGGCCAATGCAATCCCAAACGATCCCAAAAGAAACATTCATAATAATGATTTTTTGGGGTATGATTCGGGGGTATGATTCGGGGTATGATTCGGGGGTATGATTCGCACAAATCGAACTTCCTGCCTTTACTAAAAACTGCACCCGTTAAAAAAAGACACAGCCATATTTCCGTTTCTATCTACTGTGGCGGACCAGCACTTAGAATTTAAAAAAAAGATTAAAGTTTTAGAATATGGATTTATGTTAATTTTTAACATACTTGAGCCCGGGGTGAAAAGCACTAAGAATATTCAAATCGAGGGGGTACACATAGAATATTTTTGTAGTATGCTGTCTTAAGGAAAAACTAGCTACATCCGACCATATATCCCAGTAATTCCCAATAAAAATCATTACCTCCAAGCCTCCTCTCGCTCTCTCTCTCTCTCTCTCTATCCCCGTTCCTGTTTTTTTTTGGGTTTCCCCATCAATCTATGGTACTCTACCGTGCTACCGCATGAGTACCTCAATGTATGGGTTCGCAAATCTCAATGGAAAACGAACAAAACCCAATACATCAACACAACAAGAACATGGTTTACAATAACAAACTCAACAGTAAACTTGTTGGTTCGGTACCTTCTTTGATGGACTATCAGTGACTATGTAGTTGTGGCCATATTCTAAGTGCATTTACTGCCCATAAGCGCACAGTTATACAGGCAAAAGCAGCAAGTGCAAAACCGGTTGGTGCTGTACCATGCGTGTTTTGCTGCAGTACCAAAAACAACTGTAAACCATGAGGTACCGTACTGAGATTTATCGGCGATCATGAACTCAACAGTTGCATTTTGTTTATGTTTTGTTGGTATTGTACACGGCTTGTCTTGCAGTAACAAACTCAACTATATATAAACTGTTCAGTTCTGTATCTTGCTTGATGGACAAAGTGACTCTGGCAGTTGTGTGCATATTCTAAGTGCATTTGCTGCGCAGAAACGCACACTTTTACACGAAAACAACTGCCAAACGGTTGGTACTCTACCGTGCGTGTTTTGCACTACCAGATGCAAGAACTGTAAGCCATGCGGTGCTCTGCTGAAATTGTTGTGCAAACGTGAACTCAACTGTTTCATGATTTGGTACTGTACAGTGCTTGTTTTGCAACAAAGAACTCAACTATAAACTGTCCGGTTCTGTATCTTATTTGATGGAATACGCGACTCTGGCAGTTGTGGCCATATTCTAACTGCATTCACTGTCCAGAAATGCACAGTTTTACACAAGCAAAAATAACAAATGCCAACCGGTTGGTACTGTACCATGCATGTGTTGCAGCACCAAATGCAACAACAGTAAACCATGTGGTGATGTACTGAGATTGTTTGCGATCATGACTCAACACTTGTACACTTTGTAGTACTGTATCTTGCTTGTTTTGCAGTAACAAATTCAACTGTAAACTGTTCGGTTGTGTACCTTTCTTGATGGACTATCAGTGACAATGTGGTTGTGACCATATTCTCAGTGCATTCACTGCCCATAAATGCACAATTTTACATCAACAAAAACAACAACTGCCAACCAGCTATTACTGTACCATGAGTGTGTTTCGCAGAACGAATTGCAACAACTGCAAGCCGATGTGGTGATGTACTGAGATTGTTTTGAGACAGCTGCATTTGTTTTGCAATTTACCTTTGTTTTGAAGGAATTAACGAACCCAGCTGTATGTTTCTGTTCTTTGTCTTGATTGATTTTCAAAGTGACTATGTTAGTTGTGATCATATTCTAAGTGCATTTGCTGCCCATAAATTAAGTGCACAGTTATACAGGCAAACGGCAGACGCAACAACTGCAAACGGGTTGGTAATGTACCATGCGGCGACCATACGTGTTTTGCAGTGCCAAATGCAAAAAATGTAAACCATGTGGTGTTGTACTGAGGTAGTTTTGCAATTATTAACTCAGCAGTTGCAATTTGTTGGGAACTGTACCTTGCTTGCTTTGCAGTAACAAATTCAACTGTAAACTGCTTGGTTATGCACCTTCCTTGATGGACCAAGCGACTCTGGCAACTCTGACAATATTCTAAGTGCATTCATTGCCCATAAATGCACAGCTTTACACAAGCAAAAACACAACTGCCAACCAGCTGGTACTGTACCATGAGTGTGTTTTGCAGAACGAAATGCAGCAACTGCAAGTCTACGTGGTACTGTACTGAAATTGTTTTGCAATCATGAACTCAGCAGTTGCAAACTTTTTTGCACTGTACCTTGATTGTTTTGTGCATTCACTACCCATACATGGACAGGTTTACACAAGCAAAAACAACAACTGCCAACCAGCTGGTACTGTACCATGCGTGTTTTGCAGTATCAGGTGCAAGAACTGTAAAGCATATGGTGCTCGGATGAAATTGTGTTGCAATTATGAACTCAACAGCTGCAAACTGTTTGACACTGTACCTTGCTTGCTTCGCAGTAAGGAACTCAACTGCAAACCGTTCGGTTATGTGCCTTCCTTGACCTTGACCATATTCTAAGTGCATTCACTGCCTATAAATGCACAATTTTACATCGACAAAAACAACAACTGCCAACCAGCTATTACTGTACC